CCCCGCCCCGGGGTGCAGCGGCCGCGCTGTGTGGCCGGTCCCCTGCGTGCGGGGCCCTTTGGACGCTCATCGGTGGTGCACCCCGGGCTTTGCACGCGTGGCCGTGCTTGTGCTCGCGTCGCCCTGCGCCGTGCACGGGTGTCCGCTTCTTCAGGCACCGTCCTGTCACGCGTGTGCCCGCACCGCAGCCTGCACCGCTGTGCCGGGCGTTTGCAGGGGTGCATCTTAGCTCTGTGTGTGTCAGTCACTGCAGCTGAGCTGTGCGGTCACGCACGCGTGCGTTTTGCTCAGCTTTGCTCTGCGCGGGTACGTACACATGCTGCTCCTGTCTGTGCACCTGTGTTGTGCACAGATGTGCTCGCTTTCCAGAAGTGCTCATCTGCGATGCACACGTGGCTGTGTGTCCCTCTGTGCGCAGCTGTGCTGTTGAACACCCGCTGGTTTTCCCCTCTGAGGAAAACCTGCTTCTGAGGACCTCGTGCAGCTGAGCTGCGCTTGCATGTATACTTGGAGGATGCCAAATTCCCTTCACTTCTACCTTCCTTCCCTCTGCCCTCCTGTAACCCCCCAACCCAGACAAACAGAATACCTTCATCATCTATTTCTCAATACATAGCTCACCTATAATGAAGACTGTGCATTTCTTACATCTTAAAATAACTCTCTGAAATTATTGAGAGCTTTTAAGATGAGCAAAAAACCAAGCTTGTGTGCTTTGCTAGATAAAACGAGCTAGTGTGGCTGGGATTAAAATATAACTGTTGTTTCCTTAAATTGTTGGACTCTGTTTTTCAGGTGTGTCAGCCCAGTCCTTCCTTCACTGCTTTACACTGACTAGCTCTGCTTTTAATCTGCAAGTTGCGACTCCTGGGGTAAGTAAAAATAGGCAGTTGCTGTGATTTCAGTCTGAAACCAATTGATATCTCAATTGACGAGAGAGGATTATACTAAACTTTTTTTGAGAGGTGTTTTATTTGCTTTACAGATTAAGGGACTTTTTTTTAAACTCTGTTTTCTTAATATTGAACTGAATGCATGCTTCCTATAGTATGGTTCTAAATGTCCCTCCCACAAAGAATGGAGGGAGAACTATTAGAAGAACTGCTTCAGTGGGAAAAATGGAAAACTTCAGGTTTTTGAGAGCCAAAGTCTCTCAAAATGCCATATGGTTATCCTTCAAGAAACGTAGCGGATGTCTGTGCAGTGATCCTAACCACAGTCTTTGAACCATGTTTTCCCTAGGGGAAGTCCATTGATTTTGTGGATGTGAACGAGAGCAACATGCGCTGGATACAGGACTTTCGTATGAAATCCTATGCGAACCCTGCCAAGTTGGAGTCGATTGATGGTAATGGCTTTACTGTTGCCCAGTGCGTCATCTCCATTTATCAGGGAAACAGATGCTTCTTAGTGGTAGGTCTTTAGGGAAGAATGACACAGAAAAGGCATAAAACTTGTGTTTTAAGAGCAAGTCTTGGCAACTACAGTTGCTATTTTCTTATTTATCTTGGATTGGTAATTCTCTTATACACAGTATATATTCTCTCATATATGTACACACACACTATGTATTGTTATTTTTTTAAATAAGTATTTTGCTAAAGTAGAAGCTAGCAGACATAGCGGTTTTAAGCTTTGCCTGGGTAAGAATGTCTCATTAAAAATGTATGTTCTTTGTCCTGAAAAGGACCTTTTTCTTGACTCCACATAGATCTGTTAGTTTCTTTAGTTCATTCAGTTTATACAATTTTTGACTGATTGTGGTATCTTAATTTTGTCAAATCTGAAATGAGTTTGATCAGGCTTTTTTGTATGTTTCTTGTATTACAATTAGTTTATCCTTTCCTCCTTACTAGGTGCTCGATACCATGCGTTGCTCATTCCAAACTGTCCCGGGGCTATGACTGACCTTGCAAACAGTGGGTACCTGGCTAAGATATTGCAGCACTTCAGCACTGAGAACAGTAGGTGAACACCATTAGGTATTTTGTTAAAATAGTACTACTGTACTGTTCATTTATGACTGTTACCTTCCAATGACTTAAATGTTTACATAGTTGAAGAGCATTCAGAACTGGAAAGAGCTGCTTTAGAGAAATGTATCTTCTCTTAAAAAGTATGCGCTTTAGGTAAATGTATATAAAAAAAATTCAGTAGCTTTTCAATGCTTGTGTCAGAAGAGGGTTCTCTGCCTTACAGTGATACAGAAATGGCTCTTTCCAAGTCAGTAGGATTCAAGGTTCAGAGCTGAATGTGGAATGTACCAGGATCATGATTAAGGCTGTAGTTAATCAAGACTTGTGTGTGCTTCTCATTTACCATTGGAGTATGTGTTTTTGTCTTTGACTGGTGCTGTCTCTGGACTTGGAGTTAACAGCTAGTAACTCTTTGGCAAGACTGGGGCAATTCTTACTGTAGTGTGCGGGGGAAAAACCTGACAGCCTGAGAGTATAAACAGTGCAGTATGATTTTGTTGCAGGAAAGCAACATGCTGTAACATGAAGAATTTCCGTTAACACTCATCTGTGTTTTGACTATTTGAAGATGCTCACAACTGCTCAAATATGTTTTGATTTTTTTTCTCTAGAGCCTATCTGTGCGGTTGGACACGGAGTTGCAGCTTTGTGTTGTGCCACCAATGAGGACAAATCCTGGGTATTTCAGGGATACAGCCTGACAGGGGTAGGTTGAGCTTTCACCTGACTTTTGCTGTTTGGGGGCTTTTTTGCTGAGCGGGGACCTGTGATTTCAGGTGCTGGTGTTTCTGGTCTTATCCTAGAACTTCCTACAAATATAAATCATCAGTTTGGTACCCTTGGTTTATGTGCAAGACATGGAGAGTTGTCATTGGCAAGAGGGCCCAACACAGAGTGCATGAAGGGATTGTCTCACTTCGGCTGTTATGTGGAGAGTGTTTGCCTTCCCGTTGTTCTGTATACTTTAAACTGAGTCAGTAAAATGCTGGGAGTGACTGCTGCAGCTCTTTGGAGTCATAGCTGAGGGTTTTTAAGAATTACTGTTTTGGTTTCATGAATGCTGGAGGTAAGTTATATTTCTCAAGGTGCTCTCCTTTTAAAAGGTAGAGGAAGCTTTAGGAAAAAAGGCTGTTAGTACAAACCGGCTTGTAATTCAAAAAGTGGGCAGACGCTGTTGACTTTTTTAATGTATAGTCATATCTCTGACCTCACAGACCATTTCTATGGCAGTTGTACCCATGCGCCAAGATGATGCAAACCTCTATAGTACAACTTCTAGACCTGAAAATTTACATGCAAAGTTAAGAAATTAAGTTCATGGACTCACAAAAGCTATCAATGTCCTGATGTGCTTGTATTTGGCATTACAATCCATGATAAAATATTTTAAATAAGGCATGATGTGGCCTAGCTGTAGCTGCTATAGAAACTATAAAATTAAATTTTCCCCTGTGCATATAAAACCTGAACTAAGTACTCTTAACTTTTCTCCCTTCACTTAAGCTGCTTCCCATATTCATTCCAAAGCAGAGTACTGTTATTTGGACTCTGCAAGTGGCACAGCTTTTGTCTCCAAATGTTTGTGTCCAACAGCCAAGAAGGTCTTGCTTCCATGAAGTTAATTGCATGCACACTGTTCAGTGTCCAGTTGATGTGCAGAAATCGCTTGGTGTCATTCTTTCTTTGTCTCACTTAAGAATTTTGTTTGCTCCCTACAGAAGCGAAAATCCATAGAAGCTGCTTGTGGTCATTTGGTTTTGTGCTTCATTTCTCTTTCATTTCCTGTAGCTGGGAGAATCGTAGGGGGAACAGAAAAATAAATTGCAGGGGGAAATACGTGTTGGTTTTGCTTGGCTTTTTTAATAAAAAGCGAGACAGACTTATTTCCTTTTGATCTTTTTCAGCCCTCTGTGTATGAACTAGTAAGGCAGCCTAATTTTGCCAGTCTGTCCATTATTGTGGAAGATTTCGTGAAAGATTCTGGAGCTACGTTTAGTGGTATGTTACTCTCTTGTTGTCCAGGACTTCACGTTTCATGTCTGTGTCTTGGAAATGAATGTTTGTGTGCCAGTTTTACACAGCTGAACAGGACTCTGACAGGAGGCCTCATCTTGCATTCCCATTTTGTGGATATAAACAGATACCCTAGTGGATTAGAAATGAGTGTTTTAAGAATAAACGCCACGAAATACCGTGTGTGGAGAAGTAGGGCAGTACAGTACAGCGCACTGATCTCTGTGGGTGTCCACGCATACTCTTTTACCCCATGGTAAACATGAGGTCGCTTGTCCTGCTGTGAAGGAGGAACATGTACTGCAGGGGAGGGTGTGTGCAGGAGAGTTGCCATCTATCTGCAGATGCACAGCCCATACGTGCAGGGGAATGTCTGTACGTAGGTAGTGTGCTGCAGCTGCTTCCTTGCTGCACGGCAGGGAGCGTGTGCTGTGCCGTGAGAGGTTAAGTTCTGGATTTTGGGGTTGTCTTTTATTCAAGTAAATGCTTCATTATTTAAAGCTGGAGGCACTACACTGAATGTTTTTGGTTGCTCTGATTAGTTATCTCTTACCATCAAGTACTTTACTTGTAGCTAGATCTGTTTTTGTAGTATTTTCTTGTTTTGTTACTAGTAATTTCATCATTATTGGTCAAAATGTAGAAGTTTGACTTTCGAACTGCAAAATCTGAAGTTCTGCCCTGTGTGAGAAACTAAATCCACTAAAGCACAAAACTGTCACTTTTTTCCTAGATTATTTCTGGATGTGCAGGGAAAAGTGTCACTTTTCTTTACGTGCTGCTTTCTTGCAATACTAAAGAGCTACAGGGAGAATTAAATAATAAGCTATAAATGGCTCTATTCAGTTGCAGCTGTCATTCAGCCTGCTATTTTGTTAGGTAATTTTTTAGAATCTGTCCTTAAAGAGAACAATGAGATGCCTGTGGTATTTAAGTCATCCTTTATTTAACAGAATAGTGCCACCCATTGAACTGATACAATTTGCAGTTGCCAGATTAGAGATGGCACACATGGCACGGACAGGAAACAGAACCAGGCTCCTAATGCCATGCATCTATTTTTCACTAAGAAGAAATGCCACTGTCTTATCAAATTGCTGTATATTCTTCGCTTAATCCTCTTCCATCTGTGCCGCTGTCAGCCTGTTTGTGTGTTTAAATGGTACCTTTACGCTTTTCGAATGAGCTGCTGCCTCCACCTTCTGCATAATGGGTTCAGTACTGACGGTTTAAAAGCTGGTGTCTGTGGTACCTGTTATGTCACGTATGCTTGGTTGCGGTGGTACTGACAAATCAAGCAAGAAGAAAAGCATGTGGGGTTTGAAGGCACTTAGCTTGCATTTAGACAGTCAGTGGCTGGGAGAGGAGAAGAAAGTAAGAGTTGTTCATTACTGACAAAATAATGGTTCTATCTGGAATGAGGTGATTTAAAAATACTGGTTGGAGTACTGGACAATTGCTGGCAGATATTAACACGTCAGGCTATTATAACTGGCCCGTAAAAGAAGTATTTTCCTGCAGGCTCTTTGTATCATGGTGATTACAACTTTGATGTCTTACGTAAGAAGAGCTTATATTGTATTGCAGGGTAATTACAACTCTAAAATATATACTTTGAGGTTTTTATCATGAAAATCTCTTGATATATGCACTTACCTACCTGGTGTTAATTGAATCAAGGGACCAGTCCTGCTGTCCTTTCAGAGAAGGATTTTCTAGTGGAATTGTTTCAGGATTGGGGGCTCAAGATTGCCTCTGTCTGTGGGGGTTATAGATCAGCATGTCAGTCACCCAGCGAATCTGTCTGGTCAAAATAGAGTTAGTTCTATCAGAGCTGTGATATTGAAATGGAATTAGTGTCCACTAACGCAATGCTTGCTGCTTTTTCTCCTTTATTTAGCCAGCAGTCCTGATGCTGTACATGTTGTGCTGGACAGGCACCTGGTGACAGGACAGAATGAGAATTCCACTCTTCCTGCGGTCCAGAATCTTCTTATTCTTTGCAATGTCAGGTAAGGCAATATGGGAGGTAAGAATGAGGAACAGGCAGTGGTGAGCATCTTTTAGTTTCAGGATTATTGTCCCCCAAAAGAATTTTTTTGCCTAGGTTAACTGCTGAAGTGTGTGTCGCCTTTGATCTAGCTATTCAGTCGGCTATGTCTTTTGGTAAAAAGCATTTGTGATTTAAAAAAGAGGTAAAATGGGTTGGGAAATGCACCGCTGTCTATCAACTGGTAAAGTAAAATGCAGAATAGGCTTCACTAAGCATTTCTGTTAAGAGAAACATCTCTTGTGCGTTGTTCTTTGTGCTTTGGCAAGTTAGCATTTAGTCAGTTATGTTTTAGGATTCTGGGAATGAACAGATTTAATTTCTTTGGTAATGGCCTGGCCGTTTGACTGTCTGTCATCTTGTCAGATAGAAGAACACATATAAAAAACCACAAAAAATCCTTTGTTCAGGTGAATGTGTGTTAGAAGTCCTTTTCTGGCTGTGGACTAACAGGTTGTGTCATGTTTGGATGTGTTTCCTTCA